TTTTAATTTGAGGGAAATTAAATTTTTCTTTGTTTGGTTTATGGAAAAATATTTTTTATTGGAAAACAAATAGGACAATTATGCTCTCACCACCAACTTTTCTCTATTACATTATAGTAATTCTGTTCTAACATCCTCCACTGAGGCTTGATCTCATAACCTCCCACATGGAAAAGGTCACTACATGCCATCTGAGCACAACATGCTTGGTTATTATAAAAGAGTATAATTGTCTTTATGTTCATTATTCCTTACAATTTCAAACTCAACCAAACAATGAAATCGATATTCCCAGTAATTTATTTTTCACCAACCAAATAATGTAATTAATCTTCTCGGTAATTTCGTTTCTATGGAATTTCTATTCCACTTCCCATCAAATATTTTTTGCGAACCAAACGGGGCCTTAAGTATTTTAGAGTATGCATTAGGTAATAGTTCTTGTTTAACTGTAGGAGGCACCTTTAAGGCCGTACCATACTCAGGTTAATCTCCATTCGCATCAGGCCGACTCAATTAAGGGGCAAAGTGCTGATCTTTAAACTTCTATGTAAATGATAACGTTTTTAAAATACTAACTTTTTATTAGGGTTTGACCAAAATTTAAATAGTAAGATGTGAGTATTAATGCAATATCAAAACTTTTGTTTTGATAAAATCATTTTAAGATGTGGTTAGGAGTTCAAACTCATGTGTATGTAGTAACGCATTTAAGATAGCTAGTGGAGTTCGATCAAAATTCACCTAGATTAGTCTTATCATGAAATATGTGAATATTGATGTAATACTTTTAAAAAAAATCAATATTTAACAAAATTAAACCTTTTTTTTTATAGATGTAGCTCAGGTTTCCACCATCGAACACAGTGACTGATCCCTTGCTGAATTGTAAGCACCTATATTGGATAAAACCGCTGACCTGGAGTCTGGAGATTTAATATTGTTCCATACTAAAGCCAATGATCACACAATTGACCAAAATCAACAATTCTTTAATTATTCTAATAAGATGGTTGTGGTTTGCGATAAAAACCAATTATATAAAAAATTGTAATCTCTATCATTATATTTTGGAAATTGAAATTCGAAATTTAGTTAATATTGATGATCATGAGAGTTTGTTGGTATAGCACGACTGTTGGTGTTAAAAGTCTCCTTAATTTCTTCGAATTTTACGCCCAAATTGTTGCCTTAACTTCTTCAAACGCGCCGCAGCATTTTTCATGCTATTAAACTAGGTGTAATGAGTAATGGCCTTCAATTTTCAAACATTTCGTGGATTTTGTAATTTAATCTTTATTTGACTAAATTAAAATCAGTTTTATCGATTTTATCAACTTGTAAGCAGCAATTAATGCATTCCTCAAAAGCAATACAAAGTTTGATTTACATTTAAAAAGTAATAAATAAATAAAACTTTCAACGGTCCAATGCCTTATCAATATCCCGTCAATCCGGTGATAATGTCGGACCCAAATTTTCAATGATGGCAAAATTCACTATGATTTTACGCTCCGCCGTATCTGTTCCAGCTAGTGCCAGTCATGTACCCACAACCGGTGTACATGACGGCCCCCACCGCCCCAGAGGTCGCACCCACAGCGGAGTTTGGGGGAATGGAATCGAGCTCCGCCAGGCACAATTTGAACGAAGGGCACTTGCGAGCCATCACGAGCCTTCCCCCAATCTCGTCGGTCGGGGCGGACCCGTTTTGGCTCGATCGAAGGATCGGAGGCAGAGTCTAGCCCATGGAGAAGTGCCTTTGATCGAATTCAGCCGCTGATACGAGAGCGACTAAGAGTACGAGCCGAAGGGAGGATGTCAATCGACTGCCCGATTGGAAGTCGGAATGAAGGGACCAACGAGAGTAGCGCGTCGCACCCTCGTCGTTATAGAAGTGCTCGGAGGGAAGCGCAAGATGAGTTTCCAAATTTACATTATGTACATCATATCATTTATAACGTAAATTTTAGGATGTCAAAAATTGTAATGAATGTTGAATATATGTTATTTTGCATCTTTGATTTCCATCATCCTACTTATACCAGCGTAAAAAAAATTATATTTTTTTAGTTATGTTTCACATTTAATTTTTTTTTTTTAAAAAAAAATGAAAAAAATTTACCTAGTAATCGAATAAGCACATACATAGGCACACGCTGTGATATCAAAATACAAAACAAATATTATGACATTATCAATTTTTGGTGGAGGATATGCATCTTTTGGAACAAAATTATTAATAAAATTTGATTTTTTACTGTGATCCACATATGATATGTCATGATTTTCATCACAAAATCATAACATGGTAATTATTAGGATTTCTTTAATCAAATGGATAGAAGTACTTAATTATGTCACAATATTTCAAAAATTCCAACTACAACAATTATGATTGCAATTAATTAAAAAATAATAATTGTAACAAAGCACAATAATGTGTAGACTAATTGCGAAATAAAACAATGCCTTTTGCTTGGCAGCTTGGCCAAACATGTTTTGTTGATGTGGATCGGATTAGCTTCTTCATTAGCTCTTGATTAAGATAATCAAAAAAATAAATTAAACGAGGAATGATTGAAGGGGGGAAATAATTGATGATAATTAGATGTGTTTTCATATATGGGAATATAGTGTTAACCCCATAAGTAATAACAACATACAATGATGCGAGGACTTTAATGATTGATAGTTTAATCATCCTTCATTATAGCTTGGCCCCAATTTTGCTTTGATATTTTCAACGTAATTGCTACACCGCTAGCATTAATGTTGTTGGCGATATTAACAAGGTTTATGTGATTTTTATGCCTTGAAGTTTTTACTTAATCCACCAATAACAATGAGACAAAGTTTGACTCATTACTTATTACTTATGGTAAATAAATCAGATTAAAATTGAGAAATTTTCATTTGTTGTTCTCATTCGGATTAGCTCAAACTTTCGACCTTATAAGTGGAGTACTTGCCCTTCGATCAAGGGTTTAGGGCCTATTATGCCCTAAAGTTTGCACTAAACCCACCAAAAACAATGGGTAAAGTTTGACTCCAAAATTACGATGAGTGATTACAACCGAGAAATTTCTGTTTGGTGTCTTTATTGTGAGGCTAATTCAGATTACCTCAAACTTTCGACCTTATAATTATATTAGTTGTACACAATATCAATTCTCTTCTAGCATCATCTGTTAGACTTAACTATACAATATGCTTTTAATACGGCTTGGATCCCTGGCCTGCTTTAATTTGATACCAATTGTTAAGATTAAATGTTTATTACTTCACCAAAACGTGTGACATAGCTAGTAACGAATGCACAACTTCACATATTTATACTTGCCTAGCAGCTAACCTATTTTTTAATGACATGATGCTGCGACCCATCATTATTAAGTAAAGATTATAATTCCACTTGTCAACTGGTGAGTCTTGCAAAAGTTTACCCGTAATTGATAAATGTAACATTATACAGTGATACGAATGGAAAAAGTCAAATGTCAAGCAAAGTGTGGTTTTGTTAATAATGTAATCCTAATTTTATTTTTTTTTATATTATATTTTTTCAATTTCTTTTCAATGCAAGCCTTGACTACACTTCAAAGAATTTGACTATGTAAATACCGCTGGTGTGATTTACATGTTATATTATTAATAAGGTATTTAATTTTGTTTGCCCAAACATAGTAGATGTTACAGCGTGGAACATATTGGACATATAAAAACAAATATTTAATTAATTTTTAAATGATTGTTGAATGTTCAATAAACAATAAAATAACTTACAACCAATATAGTGATATACTACGATGAGATATAGTAATATTATTAATTTTTTAAGAGAAAATTATATTTGTGTCCATAAGTTATATTATAATTGTATTATGGTGATCATGCTCTCTTTTCGTCCCTAAGTTATGAATGACGTTGCATTTTTCGGCCTTTTACTAACAAAACATTAGGGACAAAATTTGCAACTTTAGTATAGCTTAGGGACAAAAGGTTAATATAAGGACGAAAAGTGTAATGTCAATGATAGTTTAAAGATGAAAAATGAGCATGACCAATACTTATAGATAATTTCTACAGTTATCTTATAATTTATGGATGAAAAATGTAATTTCTCATTTTTTTTAAACATAGTACAAAAAAGAAACACAAGGAGTTGTTTTCTTACCTAACTCTACTCTAATTCGTGTGAGATCTTTCTACGTTAGCATATTGTATGTATATGACATCATTTGAATTTAAAATCTCAATTTAGGTAAATTTAAGATGTGAAATTGTCAACATAATAATTAATATTGTACATTGTTTTTTTAATATTACATTACTGTAACCAACGTTATAAAATTACCCACGTGGTATCCAAACGTTGGGTTGTCAAGTCGATAGTATTAAGTCTACAAAGATTTCAGATGCAATGGATTTGACCTATGATAGAGACCCAAATTGCCAGTTGGATCAACAAAGTTACTGGGAGGTCACCCAGGCGGGGTGAACTTGAATAGTTGCGTGCTTTCTCGGTGGTCTCCAGAATTTCGATCGATTTTGATTTACGCAGGTGAGTGCATGTTGGTACGGGTTGGGCTCGTACGATGGGTTATTTCCCTATCAATTATAGTTAAGAGGGAATACTCTACTTCCTCTGTCCAATTTGTTTGTAAGGTTCGATTAGTTAAGAGGCTCACCCTCGCTCCGTTACCATTCCTATAGATATTCATTTACTATTGAATTGTGCAATATAATAATACATTATATATTTATCGTATCTCGTAAAAAAAAATAAAAAAAAAGGTTATCTTATTACACAATCTATCGTGTATGATCGATGTAATTATAAATACGAATTCACGTGCGCTCTTCGACCAGGGTTTGTCGGTCAAATTTCTGTAAAACAAATCAAAAAGCAAAAAAGTAATAAAAAACGAGAAAACTTTATTTTTATTTATTTACTTATTACATTTATATGTATTTATTACAACTCCACTGGTACCAGTATTAAAGATTGGATTGGAAAAAGGCCTCTTTTTAAGCCCCCTTTCGTTTACTCCATTCCTTACCAAATTCTCATTCCCATTCCCATTCCGACACTTCTTTCTTCTTCTTCTTCTTTGGATTGATTGTTAATGGAGTTGGCTTTGAGCTTAGGAGGGAGTAATGGAAACCCGACTCGAAAGCCGTTTGCCCTTCTTGAAAGCAAGAGTTCCGCGGTGGGAATCGGCGGCGATTTGGGGTTTTGCATGGAAAATATGAATAACAGCGGCGGAAGAGAAGAACCGCCGCCTCCGGTCCAGCTTGATCTTCTTCCCTTGTCGCCGGTTCACCGCCGCCAATCCGGTTCGCAGCTTCTCCTTCCATGGCTGCCCGATAACTGTAAGTTGATTCTCGTGATAGGGTTTTCATTTCTGATTTGCTTTTGGGTTCTTTTTTTTCTTATTTGATTTGGGTTGGTTTCACAGTGGGCGCCGAGGCGGGCGTGAAGGCGCTGGATATGAACCGGCGTCCGGCGGGCGCGGTGGCGGAGGAGGCCGAGGACGCGGCGGCGCTGTCGTCTCCGAACAGCGCGGCGTCGTCCTTCAAGATGGACTTCTCGATCTTCAGAAACGGGCTGTTGGGGAAGAGAGATAGCACCGGCGACGGCGATAGAGAGAGAGGCGGCTCTTCCAATTCCCGAGCCTCCGACGACGACGAGAACGGCCTCGGCCGGAAAAAGCTCCGCCTCACCAAAGATCAGTCAGCTTTTCTCGAGGAAAGCTTCAAAGAACACAACACTCTCAACCCCGTACGCCTTCTCCACCTAATCATCAGATTTTGTTCCTCGTCCTATGTTGTCGGAAAATCTTCTCTTTCAATTCCCTAACATATTTTCCAATCCAAAAAATGCAGAAACAAAAACTCGCTTTAGCAAAACAACTCAATCTTCGTCCTCGCCAAGTCGAAGTTTGGTTCCAGAACAGAAGAGCAAGGTATACATATATTACATTAATACTGATAAGAAAAGTTCATAGTCACTATCTGACGATTGTTGATTCGTTATTGACAATTTAATTTGATTTATCTCTTAATCAGTTCGATCTGTTCATAGCTGATCAGCTCAAATTAAAAGAAAAGTTAATAAATAGTTACAAAATAGCATTTTTTTTGGGTTGAAATAAATAAAATAATTATGTGTATTTATAGGACGAAGTTGAAGCAGACAGAAGTGGATTGCGAGTATTTAAAGCGGTGTTGCGAGACGCTGACAGAAGAGAACCGAAGATTACAGAAAGAGCTTCAAGAATTGAGGGCTTTGAAGGCGTCTCAGCCCTTCTACATGCAGCTTCCGGCCACCACTCTCACCATGTGTCCGTCGTGCGAGCGCGTTGCCTCTTCCACCGCCGCCGCTACCCCGACTACTGCCGCCGCCGCCCACGGCGGCGCTAAGCCCAAACTCTTCCCGTTTCCGCCCCCGCAAGTGCATGCTCCCCAGGCTGCTTCGTGATTACTTTTTTGTGTTAATTAGGCTAATGACTGTTAGTATACGGTGTAGTCTTCTGCTTCTATATGTACATATCAACATTTTGATTCTCCATTTTACTTGTCTTAATCCCAGACCATAGTTTTCGGGAACTTTTACCATATTATCTTCAGAATCTATCACTTAAGAACAAATTGAACTTTCCGAGCATACATTCAAATTTTTGTTCATAATATTGTACATTTTTTTGGATTAGAAATATCATATAATATAATTAATTTAAGTATAAAATATCTTAAAAAGTTTAAATAACTCTATTCTAATTGGTTGGACAGTTGACTTAATTGTAATTAATAAAGTTACAATTTTAAGAATGATTTGAATCAATGTATTGTACTTAATTTTGCTGATTTAATTACATACTAGTGAACATTTGGCGATTAGCAAAATTATAAGATGAGATATAGCGATTTTTTTATCATTCAAAAAATTATTATTGTTAAAAGATTGTAAGTATATTTAAATTATTTGACTTAAATTAGTTGAATGATGTATTTTGTTTTAAGTAAAAAGTTAAGTTCATTTTTCCAAAGGGTTGAACCCAATTTAAGGAACAAAAAAAAAACATATTCTGAATGGCTCCAAAATGCTAATGATGATATAGTTAAGGCATTCTTATCTTGTCAAATGTACCACCAAGTTGCAGTAGCCCACCTATATGATACATAATGATTAATTATAATAAATATTATATTAATTATTTTTTACTACATGACAATATAACTGTGTTTAGTTGGAAAATCTTTTTCTTTGCACTGTATCATGGAAACGGATTGTTATCGGCATGTAGTTATTGTTGAACCATTATGGATTTTAAGACTTTTTTTTTTTTAATTTTTTTTTAATTTTTTAATACAATTTTTTTTTTTTAATACAAACTTACTTAATGCTCTTCAACTATCTTACAAAGTCTTTGATTAGTATGGTTTATGCTTAAGAGTTTTTATCAAGCTTTACTGGAATAGAGGCCTTGACTTGGGCAAATTATAAAGAGAATTCAAGTTGTTTAAATAGTATGTATTATATAAATCTTTCATTGTAATTCTAGTCGGGCAAAAACCACAATGTCCATATATATAATTCACTTGTTGACAGTTTTAAACTTGAAACTTTATAGTTAACAAATCAACTTATTCGATCAACTTGACTAGGATTGCTTTAAATTTATATTGAATTATATAACATAATGCAATTGTGTGCTCATCATTTTGTTATAACTCTGGGTTAATAGTGTTGGAAAATCTAGGGTTTGCAGGGTTTCAAAAAACTTGCCAACTATTTTGAGATATGGAAATTAAAATTGCCCGTCGGCTAATATTTTTGTCTTATGATACAACCATTTCAAAATCCAATAAGTTTTTGCCGGAAGAAAAGACCCACACAACAAGAAAATTTAGGGTTTGCGGGGTCTCAAAAAACTTTCTGACCATTTTAAGATTTGAAAAATTAAATTGTCATGTTGGCCAATGCTTATCCATTTTGGTAGAAACATTTCAAAATCCAATTGGTTCTAGTTGGAAGCAAAACCTCATAATTGGATATCTGTGAAAAAATTTATGAATAACTCTCGATATACACTTATTTAAGCTTTGTTTGGTAAACCTAGCTGAAAAGCTATAAGCTAGAAGCTGAAAGTTGAAAAGTTATAAGCTCGGAGCTGAAAATTGAAGAGCTGTTAAGCTAGCTGTTATGATTGAAAGTGTTCGGTAAAATTAGCTTTTTGATAAGCTGATAAATGTAAAAAGACTAAAAAGGACATCTTCATAAAATTTAAATTAGTTTGTTTACGTATTAAAATTTAATATTTCGTCTTCCAAAAAAAGTAAACACTTTTTAAAAAAAAACTATTAGCATGTTCATGATCTAGCATCCCATAATGAAGTAGCAATATTGTTGCGAATCTCCTTCATCTCCATAGAGGTGTGACTTAAATTTTCGTTGATGGAGATATTACTACTTGAATTTTGAAGTTCATCGGGCGGTATGTAATCTGGATGCTGCTCAAGCACATTAAACATCATGTCATCTTGTGAATTCTTCCGAATATAATTATGTAGTGCAAATGTGGCCATAATAACATCAATTTGGGTCTCCTCACTAAACTGCGGCATTTTAGCAAATATCTTCCATCTCTTATTCAATACTCCAAACGATTTCTCAATACAAATTCGAAGAGAAGAATATGTACGATTGAATGCATCTTGAGCATTAGTTGGCGGCTCTTGTTCAATTTGAGATTGAAGCCATATTGCTAATTTAATAATAATAATAATAATAATAATAATAATAAGCTAAAGTTTCAACATAATTGTTTAGCTGGAAACAAGACTAAGGAAGAGATTGACGTAAAAGTTGGGATAGGGGAAAAGAAAGGGTTTTAATTCATAAGGTTAAAATATGTCATTACTTTAAAATAATAAGGGCAAAGATGAAAAAAAAGTTAGGAAGCTAGTAGCTTATTTTGAAACGCTACCTAAAGTAGCGTTTCAAAATAAGCTCTAATTTTAAGCTAGGAGCTTATTTTGGGAACATTACCAAACAAAGCTTATAGCTTATTAGTAACTTAAAATAAGCTATAAGCTCCTAGCTTAGTGTTGCCAAACAGAGCCTTAATGGTTGAAAATTTGTGATTTTTCAACCGTGCAATGCAACAACGGTTCAGGGGAACCATTAAAAAGAATATTGTTGCTGAAAATTAAACCTATTAAAAAATACAATAAAAAATTATATAATGTCTAAAAAAGATTAAAATTAATAATTAATATATGGTTGCAAGAAGAATTTAAAGATCAGATGAACTAAGTACAAGGAAGATATTTAAAAACACCAGAAAAAAAAAAAAAAAAAAAAAAAAAAAAAAAAAAAAAAAAAAAAAACAATGCAGGAGAGTTTCGTTAACATCATTAATGCAAACAACCTACCAATGTATGTATTTACTGGTTCACATGTTCAGTCCATCAGTAATAAAAGTAGATTGAATAGTAGTTTGGAACCAGAGTTAATTAAATGTAGTATGTAGTGTTTCTCAGTCTGAGAATATACTGTGTGGCATACATTTTCATTTACTATACCTGCATTATATGCCCCAATATATATGCCATTAATTCATTCTCAGGATGTGTGTGTTTTTTGTGGACGACAGGGAAACATTAATGTATGTAAGGTTAATGAATGACATCCATGTGTTCATTTTGAAATATACCATGCATTTCATCTGTATTGAATTCAATGTGATAGCTATATGTTTGATAAAGAGGTAATAAATCGAGTACAATATTGCATGTGTTCAAAGGTTAGAACTAGACTTTCGGTGAGAATTGCAACTAATATTATCTGTCAATCTAAGATGATTAATGGTTAAGAAATTAAGTTTCTTCCAAAAAAAAAAAATAATTAAGAAATTAAGTAAAAAAAAATTATAATGATATTTTAATAATTAATTATTGTGATGAACTAGAAAAAGTTTGATAGTGCATTAGGTGATACTGACAGGACACTTAGGATCTACAATAGAGCACTCAAGTGCGCGGTATTAGTTATCTGCAAATATACAATTAAGTGTTTCATGTATAGAAGAAAATGCATATATGCCATACAGTTTCTATATCTTTATTCTTTATGGGATCAAATGTGACAGCCTCCCTGGTGTGACCGTGCGGACAGATCTAGACCATTGGATAAGATCAGATCAACGACGGGAAATCAATGAAAAAAGCAAAAAAAGAAAAATGCGGTGATATTTTTTTGTAATTTTCCGCACTAATCTTTTTATTTTTTTTAATTTAGTTAATCTTGGTCGTTGATTTAAGCCAGATCAATTGTTCAGATTTAACCAAGCAACCGCACCGGACACACTCAACCACATGGGAGCTGAATTCTCTCTCTCTCTCTCTCTCTCTCTCTATATATATATATATATATATATATATATATATATATATGGGTATTGGATCATACGAAAACAAGTCCATAAGAGAAAACTAAGAACAAATCTGAGCCTTATATCTGGAAAAGTTGGATGAACCAAATCAGATTTTTTAAAAATGTGACATTTTCATAATTATCACCAGTTTTACTATACAAACTTGAATACTAAAATCTGCACTTCTCAGATTTCCAATTTAAAAGTTGTCAAAAATAATGAATTACTTGACAGTAAATGTTTCAACTCATCATAATATGATGGAGTGAATCATGACATGGTTTGGTAAAATAGTAGTTTGATTTCTTCTTTAACTGATACATGATACTGAGTCAATACGTTGGACTACAAAATTATGTTTCACACAGGTCAGCTTATCTGACCATGTTACATTTCTTGAATCATTGAAAACATTTGTCAAAATCATTGTGGAAAACCAATGATGCTGAACACTGACCAAGTTTTTTGTGATAATGATGTTTTTTTTTTTGGAAGAAATAATATTAATAATTATATATTCCTCCCTCTCATAATATATAAACCACAAAAATTGACATTCCTTGTTCATTACTTCTGCATATATATTATTTCCTAATCTGTTTACTGTTTATCCAAGAGGCACATGGGTTTGAAAATATTGCAAGTTTAGAACTAGTCAGGCTATGTGTTCACTCATTGAGTTTGAAACATCAAAGATTTGACTTGTGAAGAAAATAATTAATCTTTCCACTCAATTTTTTGATATTAGGTTTAATTTATTTACTAGAGTTAGAGCAAACACAATAGAGAAACTCAAAGTTAAGTATTTTATCAGGTTTACAATGTTAAGTAGTAGAAAGAAATTAAAAGGGAAAACAACTTTTTTTTAAAAGAAAAAAGAGAAAAAAATCAAAACGTTTTTACTCGAAATTTGAGATAACCACATCCCACATAACTCGTGTACTTAAGTGTTAAGATTAGTGAAGGAGGATTTGAACCAGGAACTTTACGATTACTAGCAAAGTAAAGCCTTTCAATTTATTTTGAGTTGATTAACCAATTGAATTGTGTTTGAGGTGATTTTTTTTTTCTTTTTTGGGTGATGAAGGAAACCCTTACTATTACCCAAAAGTGTGCACGGAGTAAACCCACTCATATGTAATAGTCTGGCAATTAGCTTGACAGAGGATGTGTTATTAAAAATAAAACTCATGATCTTTTTGTAAAATTATTTTCAATTTTGTCTCTATGATTAGTAAGTCACTTTTACTTTCATGATCTGTTTGAAAAAAAAAAAAAATTGAAAAGAATTAATTTCACTTTTGGTCGCACGAATTTTGATGTCTTATTACTTTTAGTGCACAACTTTAAATTTTTTCAATTTTGGTATAACATATATGTAATTGATAACATGTTTTGTATTCACAAGTTTTTTTCAAATATTGCAGTCACACAATATTAACAATAATTTGATCACTTTGTAATATATTCACAAATTCCCTTCTACAACTGTTATATTTTTTAACATAAAAAGACAATTTATATTTTTGAAGTTCCCAATTCTAACTTTAAAAATACACAATTTATAGGTCGTTTAAAATCAAGGTCCACCTTGCAAAGTGGACCCTGGTCCATGGTATAACAACTCAATGATATAATTAATTTGCGGCTTTCTACTTGATTTCTTGCCTTTGTTTGGAAGCCCATTCGGCCCTATAATTGACAAAAGCCTGTTATTAGTGGCCCATAAATATCTTCACGTTCTTTTGACTGTTTGACTTAGGCCCATTAAGAACCCCATTGGGTCAATTGTTATGCCGTGGAACCATGTCTACCTTTCAAGGTGGAAGGTGGACACAGTTCTTTGTTCATAATTACTGAACTCTATATTCATAATTTTTTAACTTCATATTCACAATTATTGAACTCTATATTCATAATTACAGATCTCTATGTTCATAATTATAAAATTCTATGTTCATAATTTTGAACTTTATATTCATAATTATTGAACTCTATATTCACAATTACAGAACTCTATGTTTATAATTTTTGAACTCTATATTCACAATTATAAATAGTTTTAGAACCGTATCCACCTTGCAAGGTGAACACTATTCCACGGCATAATTTGCCATTTTTTTTATTCTTTCGATTATTGTGTGTGACTGTTTTTTTTTTTTTTTTTTTTTTTTTTTTTTTTTTTTTTTTTTTTTTTTTAACGTTGGGCGGGGACTACCCCAAAGGACGAGGGCCTGTTAGCCTTTTTTTATTTTTTGGGTATTTACATTTTAAAATTAGGAAACAATTTCACAATTAATAAAAATATCTAATAAGATGTTTGGCAGGAAATTAAATATATTACTTTTAGTTCCCTATATATCAAAGAGAAAATGGTCAAATAGACCCTTAAACTTTATTCAAAAGGGCACACTACTGGAAATTTTGGAATTTGCGCCATCTGAAAGTGATCTTAAATCAAATTGAAAGTAAAAAGTGGTCGGAAATAGCAATAAAGGTTTTTCCGGATACCAAAAGTGGTCGGATAAGGCTTTCGACTTGATTTAAGATAACTTTCAGGTGGTCGGAAATTCTATAATTTCCAGCAGTGACAATTAGGCCCCTCAACTTTATAAAAGAGCAATTAAACACTTGAACTTGTCATTTTAGAGCATCTAAGCCCAGTAGCCGGTTATTTACGTAAAATAACAGGTCATTTAAAATTCCAGTGAGATTCTGGCGAAAAAATAAAATTCCCGACGACGATTTTTTTTTTTTTTTTTTAAAGCCTTCCACCGGAGAAGACGTCAGGCCGGTCGTCTTCTCCGGTGGAGAAGGCGACCAGCGCTGGTCGCCTTCTCCAATGGAGAGGATAACCAGTCCGGTCGGTCGTCTTCTCCAATGGAGAAGACGACCGGAAATTGCTCCGGCGATTTTTTTTTTTTTTTTTTTAAAAGGTTTTTAGCCCGGTCAACGGCAGTAATTTACCGGTAACCTGTTGGTTATCGGTAAATTAGGCTTATTTGACTCAAAATGATAAGTTTAAGTGTTTAATAGTATTTTTTTTTAAAGTTCAATGGCCTAATTGCCATTTTGAGTAAAGTTTAAGGATCTACTTGACCTTTTTCTCTATATCAAACTTAATCTAAATGATGTGTGTAAGTGTGTTCATTAATTAATTATAAATAAGTGTAGGAATAATGCATAAAAATATATTTTCAAAATTTTCAACTTTGTAAAGGATGTTAAAAATCTCAAATGAAACTTTTCATGCCGAGTCGGGGATACTGTTCATCGACTTTTATTTTCTTTTTCAAAAAAAATTGTGTTAAAAACTCAAAAGTATTTTTAATTTGTAAGTGTGTCCATTAATTATAAAAAAGTGTATTAAACAATTAAAACCTGCAAAAAATGACATTATAAAAATGGGAAAAAAATAAAATTCTTCAATTCAAACACGCCCAAGAGTCGGTGATCCCCTCTACATTCAACCATGTCGGTACACATGGCTTAATTATATTGTTGTTTGACTTGAAATCTGTTGGACAAATGTGGACAACATAGTATTACAAATGTCACATGTATTACTTTGGACTCTTTATGCACAAATGGCAGCATTCGGATCAATAAAACATGAAAACGGTGAATAAGATGTTAGTTTTTTGAAATTAGAAAGGGACTCAAAGGTGACTATTGAGAAGAGAAGATTTAGAATATAATGGAAACAAAAATTAGAGCCTTCGTTTTCACTTACTTGAGACAAATAAGAGATTTTTGAATAGGTATGGGAGAATTGAGAAGTCTTCTATCAAACATGTCAAAAAGTTGAATTATAGTTGAGATTCAATGACGTTTTATAACAGTGTTCGCATCTCGTCGTCAACTGTGAGTAATTCAATTAGAACTTTGTCAAACTTCATTTGTAGCAAATTTTTCAAAAGCGTTATTGTGCATATATAATTTGAACTCCAGAACTAATACTTAAACAACTTAAACCATTTACGTACTGCTTTACACATTAATGACAAATCATTTAATAAAATATGCAGCTTGGATGGAGTTCATTTTTTGAACAATCGATCTAACAATTTTTTACCACTACTTATTACTCAAATATTATTGGAGTGTCGTGATTTCGTATTATGTAATTCCTTGATACATTTGTTTATTTTCCCATGTATACAAACACAAAACTACATGTGCATTACATTAAGTATCAATTCTTTTCATGAAAAGTATTACTTAAGAGTAAAGATACAAAAAATCAGGCAGCATAATCTAAAAGCCTTTAACTGAGATTTTCAGTGGGATATAAAATACTGAATAAGTTTCATGTTATGTTCCCATACTATCATTATATTATTCACCTGCTCTAAACACATTATGAACATCAGTTTCATATTTTGCTTTGCTTTTAAGTCCTCGGGTTGCATTTTCAATCCCTTTATTCATTCTGAAAGAAGTGATTGAATAGATAAAATATGATTTTTGTATCAGAAAAGTCATATAACGTGTTCGATGTTTATTAACACTTATTTAATTGAGACAAAAAAAATTTAGTGTGATTTATTACTATTCATATATAGTTTGTGAACTATTAAATCAAATGAAAATTTATTCTATGCATACATCAAATGGTGATTTATGAATTTCTCTCATTAAAAAAAAAAACATTATTTAAATGCTCGTGACTCAAATGAACACAACACGCTTAACATACACCGACGAAAACAGAGAAGAAGAAAAAAAAAATAAAAAATAAAAAATAAAAAAGCAAAAAAGATCGAAGAGATCCAGACCGTCAAGACGTGTCATGTGAAGAGTAGGAAATGGACAAACTGACAAACTACTTCATAAAATATAGTGCACAGATTCACCAAAAGCGTCGCGATTATAGGCAAAGACACTTTTAGATGGAATAATTGACCTAAACAATTAATTAATATTAAATCTCGAGACTCGTAATACTTAAAAACTTGTGATCTCATAAACATTGTTGTTGATCTGATAAACATTATTATATAAAGTATGTTATCTAAGATCATTTCACGGATCAAATTATGATAGGAATATAATATTTATGTTAAAAATATAATATTAATATGAAATAAATTGTTTGTTATTTATAAAAAAAATATAATACTCTTAATATATATATATATATAATACAGAGTATTTTAAAATTAAAATGTTATATTTAGAGTTGATTAATTATTTAGGAGAAAAAATATAATAGTCTATATTAATAATGGATAGATTGTTTATTATTTCGTATTACTTACGAGAGAAAGTATGATATTATGATACAAATATGATATTTTTGATGAAAATGTAATATTTTTAAATTTAAATGTACTTTATAATATTAAGAGTTGAAGAGTTATTTATGATGAAAATTATAATATTTATATAAGAAAATATAATACTTATTAAAAATCTAACCCGTCTCACAAATCCGCCTATTATATAAAATCTATTAAGATGAGTTGTGATTCATTATTTTATCCATTATAAGTGAGGAGTTCGGAAGGCAAATTATTATATAGACTATTAAAACAATAAATTTTTAATATACTACAAGTACATTATTTAGTAGACAATTAATGTATTTAAGTACTCAAATAAGGTATTTTTCTTCAATATAATGTATATTTTTTGAGTACTACTGACTATGATGTTACCAATACAAGGTATATTTTTAATATATTAAAAATATATTATTTGTATATTGAATATATATTATTTAATTATTTAATAGTATACAAAATAATGTGCTTTCAATGTTTAAATAATGTATTTTATGTATATAAATGATGTACTTTTTATTTATAGTCCACACCAAATAGGTAAGATTTAGAGTAGGAGAGCACGGCAAGCTGAGATCTGCAAAAAGTTTAGAATAATCAGATGGGAAGTTATATTCCCTCTTCATTTTTCTCTTATCAATACATGTGAACATTATTAATGTGATGTCTCCTTTCCTAGGGAGAGACTCCATCCATGTTCCTCACTTATCAAATTTATATGCATTTAACGGGATTTACCCACTGCACACCCTTAGATAGTGACTGCAGATTTTCCTCGTCACTCAAAAAAAAATTATACATTTAAGTACTATTTCTTGGATCTTCTCCAGCTATTTGTTTTTGTGTATCTATATTCTATGTATATTATATATCTCTACATTGAACACATAAAACACAACCACTGTTTGTGTGTGTGTGTGTGTCACCTAGGACTTGTTATCTTGTTGCTTTTGATGTTGTTGTACCAAAAGCTTGGCATACAAGATCTCATTCCAAGCATCAGGCACACCAGGAAGGCACCAATGGCTGCAGTCTTGATACATCAATGGCTTCTCCTTCTCCTCGGCGGATAGCTTTTGTTTTCGATATATTGATGGATGGCCATCCTTTCGGAAATCACTCATTCTCGTGACATTTAGATACGAGACTTTGGTTTTCATTCCCCTTAGTACCCTCTCCAAAACCTTCATCTTTGGAGGGTATTCGGTGAGGTATGTCTCGTTCTTGATTGGCCCGGTTTCATGGTCACACGCCCCGCCAGAATTCCACTGCCCTCCACTGTTAAACAAGTAAAAAAATGACCATAAAATTGAAGCATGTGCTCCATCTCAACTAAAAGGCTAAGCTGATGGTTGGATTGCACATTAACCGTAACCTTTGGTCCGGCTCTGATACCAAATTGAAGCATGTGCTCCATCTCAACTAAAAGCCTAAACTGATAGTTGGATTGCACAACATGCTCAACACATAAAAACAACACATTGCAGAGAGGCTAAAAACGTTTCTAAATCACGAGTTCAGTTGTTATACCTGAAATGAGAAGCAGAATAGCCTCTGAAGAGAACGAATGTTTTTGCGGGATTTATATGGGCATCAACCCATCTCCCCCATGTAGTTAAAGCTTTTCGAAAAGCCTCGAGAACATTAAGGTCACTATACACATGACTGCCTTCTTGGTAGTAGTCTTTCCTGGAAACATTATTCAACATCGTTTATTATTCAATCTCGATATATCAACACCAAAAACAGCCTAATTAAAGCCCAGATGGAGTGGCATTTACCCTTTCGAAGTCTTCTCGTGAGTCCACCAGTGGCCCGTGTTGAAAACTAGAACATCTGCATTCTTATATTTCTCAGCAGACTGCCCAACCAAATCGAGTCGGAGGGTCTCCTTCGTCGTCCCATTCTTATCCGGGACCTGCCATTCTTGAACCAAGAACGGAGACACAAAGAATTCAACTTTCGAGCCGTAATCCTGCACAGCCATAACCCATTGTAACTCACAGCAAGTTCATACAAGCTATATATACAACATTATGATTCGGGTTGTTTAGTAAATAAGTAAATTAGAAGTTTACTCATAGCGGATTACATGTAAAATTGTTGAGCATATAACCATTAATGTGCAATCCAACTATCAGGCTTTAGCTGAGATGGAGGGATATGCTTCAATTTGGTATCAGGTCATAAGCGACTACTGTCCACGTGTTGTGGACATTCGTAATGATATTAATAAGCAAAAGAGAGAGTGATTGAAGGAAAGTGCATACTTCAAATACAAAGGAGTATGAAGCTTCTCCTCTGAAATGGTGTCTGCCAAACTCTTCATACACTTTCTTCTGATCCTTGACAGAATTTCTCAGAATGCAAACAAGAGATTCCCACATATTCCTGTTTAGAGAATCACCCACAAATACTAATCTCTTCCCTCTCAACATTTCCAGCATATGAGCTCCATTCAGTCTGAACACAAGTTTACATAATAAGCAGAATGAATGAAGAATCAAAATTAAAGCCTCAATCCATGAAAAAGGGAGAAAAATCAAAGCTTGAAGTTCTTGGATCAGTTACCCAGAAACCAGGAACTATAAATTATTATTATTATTATTATTATTATTATTATTATAAAGAGATGATACCTTGGGAGGGTGCAAGCCTTGGGCTTCCATCTATATTTGAAGTAATCATTATCTGGTCTACCATTGGTAAAACAGTTGAATTGCTCATCAATGAGGGAACAAGAACCAGGTTTGTAGAGAGGGTAAGACTCATCATCTTTCACCCAATTCCCATCAAAGAAATCACACTTCAATAAAGACTTAACCAAATCCTCATCACCATTACTCTGCTTCTTCTTTGCTAAGGAAGAAGTAAGGTTCTTCAACCCACCCTTCTCTGCAATTATCTTCTCTCCATTCCCAGTCTGATTTGCCTTCAAAGCTCCAACTTTAGGATCAGAGCCATGGCTCTGGGTCTGATTCTTTTCAGAAGAAGAAGAGTGTTGAGTTGTTGTATTCACAGTTGAGCTTATAGTTAAAGGCTTCTTCAAGGGCTCAACTTTACCATTATTCTGAGTCTGATTTGTCTGCCCTTTACTCAAACTGGGCGGTTTAGAACTACTATTCTGAGATCCAGTTACGCCATTAGGGGGTGCAGAAGAGTTTGGGGAAAAGTAAGAGACGATTGAAGAGAAGTGAGATCCATTTGTGGCAGGGCTCAAAGAAAAAATATTTGTGAACCAGGGAGAAGAGGAGTTGTTAGCGGAAGGGGTAAAAGCCAGGAAAACAGTGAAGGCAACGAAAACAGACACGAAGGCAAAAGCACACGCCTTGGTTCTCTTGGTTCTGAAGAGGGAGAAGTGGGTGTTGAGGTCTGAAATGATAGTTCCGCCATTGATGGGTGAGTATTTTGCAGAGTCAGCCATCTGGGTCGGATGGAGTGCACACAAGAAACAGTGAAGAGAAGGTGAATGTAAACCCAGCCAGTTTTAGGTGGGAGAGAAAGGGTTTGATGGGGGAGAGAAAGAGAGAGAGTAGTGGAGGGGCGAAGAAGATAGTGAAGATGGTGGAGAGTAAAAGCGAGAGAGAGAGAGAGAGAGTTTAGTGCTGTTTCAGAACGACACAGACAAGTAGACAACTACAGAAGTAGCGTGACTATGCTGTGTTTTTTTCCGGGTTGGAGGAAGACAATTACTCCGTATATGAAATTTGAACTGTGGAGTTGGTCTTTGATTTCGTAATCATAAAATTACATAGACAACAGACAAAGAAAGATCCGGACCACTTAATTCTGCTAATGAGTCTCAATCACTGGTCATTCTTTTTAAACTTCACTCATATGACTAATTGAGCTGTCTATACAGACTTTTATTAGACTAATTTTAATCCCAAAGAATCTCACACTTAGTTATTGTAGAGATAAATCCACAATCAGCTCACTGATCATAATAAAATTATATCTTCTTAGTTTGAATCGTTAACTATATAAAGAACTTGAATTGGTTACTATTTTTGCCTAATAAGATCAAAATGTAGGATTTACCCACTAAACACTTTCAAATAATAACTATAAAATTTCCTTATTACCCAAATGTATATATATATATATATATATATATATATATATATATATATATATATATATATATATATAGTAAGTACAAACGCCGTCGTTTTTCCGTACATATCTAACCATACAAATAAAAGAAGAAAGTTTTTACTTTTTAGGTGGTTGGAAAACAATAATATATTGAAAGTTCGAGACCAATACGGAGTAACATAGTAGAAATGCCACTTCCGTATATAATGTGCTGTTTATCAAGGTCATATATATAAAGGCGCACACACACACACCAATATATGTGACCGGGTTCTAGATTAGTACTATAGATATATTATTTATTTATTGTAAAAACAAAGTATAAATTATATCAAAATTGTTTACATTATTAATAAAAAAAAATATAAATTTTGTTCATCTCTATAGTTTTCAAATACAATGATTAAAATTTACTACTTTAAGGAATTGCGAAATATAATTTGAACTATAATTTGTAATTATTTACATTTATCAATTTTTTAATGTTGGGCATAAATTTTTGCGCATCACACGTACAAAATGCTAATATTATATATAAATATTATAATAATTAATAATTTTAACTCCTCAATCTCAACTCTAAGTTGTAAGTCCTAACATTTGGTGTTTTAATAATTCTTATTTTTCAAATATTAACTATAGATGGATGATTCTTCATCTTGTCTATCAACAAAACACTTCAAGTGGCGCTCCAAGTGAGCCAACTGAACAATCGGTCAGGCAAAAAAGGAAACGTTCAAATAGTGGACTTCCACCAAAACCGAACCGAATACCAAACCGAACTTTTCAAACCGAAACCGAAACAGAAACCGAACTCTATTTTAAACCGAATGATTTAATTTTTTTAAAACCGAAAAACCGAAACCCGAAGTGCCCGGCCCTACTAGCTAGCTATTTAAAAGTAGTTATGTTCACATAGACATTTCAATTAATATTTGGGTGGTAGATTAGAGTGATAACTTACAATTAAACCTTGACACTCGCAGTGTTGATCCTTCTACTTAAGAGATCATTGAATTATCATGATTTAATTAGTATTTCATAATCTTGTCGAAATAGGGTCACCCAGAGTGTAAGCGCCCTGAGGACAAAAAACTTTTACCTTTTGAGAATGAATTATTTAAATAATGTTACTATAGTCTTATCTTATCGTTACAAACATCGTTACTTTCTGTTCTTTCATAACGCTCCACATGATCAATATTATCATGTTATTCCCAATAATTCATACCGAACTCCTCCTCCCTGGCATGTAGCTTGGTACAGTGAAGTCAGCAACGAATCCGACCCTACGAGGTGCCGAAAGAACAAGAAATCCGACCACACCGATCGAATGTTGAAAATAGCAACGTTAGATCTGTTTTTCTCAATGGTTGTTGGAATAGCAACAAATGCGAGCAGTAGCTGAATGCAGGCTTATGTTAGCTAGGCCGTGGAATAAGGTTTTATTATTAATCAAGTTTCTTGTTTTTCTCTTTAATAAATTTGGAAATTTTGTTGCATTTAATACATTGAAATAAATGTAAATTAAATATATTGGTGGACCGCTGATGACTTGATGGCAGGTGCCGACTTGCCACTTAATTGCCAGCTATTTTCTACTAAGAAGGGGCATTAGAACATGAGTCCTACATAATATATAGGGTGAGCTAAAGTCAAGAGTTTTGTGATAAGGGGCAAAGAGAGAAATGCCCAAATGGGACCCTAAAGCATTTGCTTTTCTTCTATTTTATTCCTTTACTTTCTTTTATTACATCATCCCATTCACAATTTTAATGCAAAAATAAAAAATAAAAAATCATAATATTTAATATTGAGTTAATACCCAAAATGATTATCGACTATAGTAATTTTTTTCAATTTCGTCTTAAACGATTTCGGTGACCTAATGTAGTCGCAGTTTTTTGTTTTTTGTTTTTTGTTTTTTTTTTTTGTTTTTGTTTTTTTTTTTTCAATTTAATCCTTCGTTTTGTAATTCCGTCAAATTGGTGTTAAATAAATGAACAATTCAGTAATCTCAATATTGGTCTTTCTTTACTCACAGCCCTGCAAAGTACGAAATCTTTATTTCTTTTGCGAATTACTCTCATATCTGTGAATCAAATTTCATATTCAGAAGTTTGGGAGTAATTCATAAAAATAAAAAAATAAAAAAAAAGAAGAATTTCTCACTTCGCAAATATAGGAGTAAAGAGATACCAATATTAAAATTATTGAATTGTCCCTTTATTTAACACCAAATGGACAAAATAACAAATTGATGACTAAATTGACCAAAAATACAAAAATGTGACTACATTAGATCACCAAAATTGTTTAGGACGAAATTGAGAAGAATGACATTTTGGATATTAATTCATTTGATATTGACATCAAAATTAAAACATTACAAATAAATAAGGGAAAATGACTTTTTTTTTTTCCCTTTCATGAATGGTATGTTAATAGTCAATTTAGTATTTTGAATTATTTTTGTATGCATATTGTCTTCCCCTCAAATCCTCAATTGGTGTAAATATAACGATTTTCTCCCTCTTTGTTATTATCTTCGTTTGGATAGTTAAATATAATGTTAGAATAAAAAATTTATATCAATTATTCTTTCTCGAATCTTCTCCAATGATAATAATGTAATATCTCCCGCAATCCCTTTTTTAACACTATACAATTTAATTTTTGGGTTCATCTACGTTGGATTGTGGTTGGGAGCAACATTATTAATTTGGAATCTATAGCATCGATTATTATACTTTAAACTATTGCTTTTAATGTGTATTGATAATGAATCTATAACTTGAACATTTTTATATGTTGCTCTTTTGAATGTTTTACATCTTATTGCTATTTTTCATTGATGTATTGTGATATAGTTCATGAAAATAGAAAAAGATCTTGTATATGAAATTTCTATTTTAACATTGGATTTAACAATTCAAATAGAGGCAAAAACGAAAATGGGAGAAATCGTCACATTTAAAACAATTAAAAGGTAATTTGCGTACAAGAATTATTTTAAATACTAAGTTAATTATTAGTATATAATTTAGGGGGAAAATGTTATTTTCCCAATCAATAATTTAAAAATCAATAACTAATTTCATTAATTGTATTATGGAGTAAATTTTTTAAAAATTATAAGATAATCTCGATCAAAATAACTTTTATATGGACTGCATGTTTTGACAACCTTGCTCTAATTACAATCATAAGAGTGGTTTCACCTAGCTCACACAGATTACTCAATTGATTCTTGAGTAGTAAATTATGGACAATGACATATGATTGAGCCTTTGACATTTACAGTGTGTAGTGGATTCTTTGTGAAAACCAAGTGCTAGTCCTCCAACTTAATACATTGTTGAATCACCGTAGTTTATCACTACATAAAAATCTATTGTGTCAAATTATAAGAGCACTAAGAGCGAAAATATTTCGTCTTATCAACAAGACCGAATCCCTTAAAATGTACACTCATAGTATTTAGGAAAACGCGACATGTACTCGGATCTCATATTATACTTTCAACTTGTACTCCCATACATTAAATCTTGATGTAGGCACTTGTAGGAACTCGCATAAAAAAAAAAAAAAAAAAAAAAAAAAACTTATCAAATCTGCTATATCAGAGAGTTAGATTATAAAGTACATATAGTAGAACTCTAGTATTTATGGACTTTCCCGTAATTAATGTTGGACCCCGTGGTGGACCGTAGCAGTTGAACACTAGGAATGTAACTTTGAAAAAGCGATGCAACGCTCCACCACCTCCAATTGCATTATTGATGGTTGCTCCAATATTATGTATTATTAATACATGATGCTGACTGGACCATGCAATTTTTAATAATTTTAATTTACTTTTAACAGAAATGATATATATTTAGACGCGTGGACCCCACAATTGACTAATTTTATTCCGTACGTTTAACACGTACCTGTTATGGAAATTTCGTGACGCCATTAAACGCCGTCGTTGCAACCATCCAACATATCCACTCTCCATTGGTACTGTACGTATTAAGAAGCAAAATGACAGAATATTAAAACTTCCATTATCAATCCACAATAATTGAAGAATACTCATGGAAAGCTATTTTTTAAAATGAAATTTGATTAAAACTCGAGTTAATTAATTATTCTTATTTTAAGAATATTAATATAATATTAAAAACCTTTCAAAAAAATATATATAATATTAATAAAAATTTAATGAAGCCATGGGGTTCAGGACCCATAGTATTTATAAGGCCTTGGCCCAATAAAAGTAAATGAGGGGTGTTGTTGGGTTTTAAGAAGTGAAGGAGGAGGTATGTCGGCCCAATAGTGAGGGGAGGAGGTATGATTAATCGTTATATAGTGTATCTGCATAATGCGCCCTATTCAAAACGACGTCGTTTTTTATAAGTTTTGTTGGTGGTTGACGTGACAAACACCCTTTTTAACACTTGTGTTTATGTGTATTATGTATTATGTTAGATTATGTGTATTATGTTAGGAGTTTATATATATTTTACTATATAATTATGTACGTTCAAAACATTAAAATTTTATTTTAGA